TGGATATGTGTCAGCTCTGGCCTCAGAAAAGAAGGTGATGAGGTGGAATTAGGTGTTTGAAAGGTTTGTGGGGCTACTTCTCTCCCCACCTTCCCCACTGCCCCAAACACCAAGGGCAGGAAGCAGGAAGAGCCAAGGAAGCTCAAACTGTGATGCAGCCCAGCTCCCTCAGCAGAGTACAGCCTGTTGTGGGAGCCTCCCTGGGGCAAATAGGCCTCAGCTGACTTCTAATTCGAGGATATTGCAGAGGAATGCTGTCCCTGGACCACCATGGGTCATTGCTCAGGTTGGCATTCCGGACCTGGGGGATACTCCATCTTCTGCCCTATCTTTTTTTTTAATTTTATTAAATTTATTGATGTGATATCGGTTACAAAGGTTATATATTTTTAAGTGTACAATTCTATAATACATCGTCTGTTTATTGCATTGTGTGCTCACGGGAAGTCAAGTCTCCTGTCACATAATTTCAACACTTTTACCCTCTTCTACCTCCACCATCCCCTCTTTCCCTCTAGTAACCACCATACTGTTGTCTATGTCTGACTCTGTTTGTTTGTTTTTGTCTTGTTTGTTCATTTGTTGCTTTCTGTTTTATATCTCACATAAATGAAATGATATGGTTCTTGACTTTTTCTGTCTGGCTTATTTCACTTAGCATGATATTCTCAAGATCCATCCATGTTGTCATAAATGGCAGTATTTCATATTTTCTTATGACTGAATAGTTATTCCACTGTATATATGTACACATCTTCTTTATCCAATCATCTCTCAAAGGATGTGTTGGTTGTTTCCACATCTTGGCCACTGTGAATAATGCTGCAATGAACATAGGGGTACATAAATCTTTTCAAAATTTGGGAGTAGATACCCAGAAGAGGGATTGCTGGGTCATATGGTAACTCTATTCTTAATTTTTTGAGGAACCTCTATAGTGTTTCCATAGTGGCTGCACCAATATACATTTCCACCAGCAGTGTATACCTTTTTCTCTACAGCCTCTCCAAAACTTGTTATTTCTTGTCTTGTTGATAGTAGCCATTCTAACAGGTGTGAGGTGATACCTCATTGTGTTTTGATTTGCATTTCCCTTATAGCTAGTGAGTTGAACATCTTTTTATCTGTTGCCTGTTTGTATGTCTTCTTGGGAGAAGTGTCTGTTCAGGAACTCTGCCCATTTTTTAATTGGTTTGCTTGGGTTGTTTTGTTGTTGAGTTCTATGACTTCCTTATATATTTGGGATATTAGCCCCTTATCAGAGGTGTTGTTTGCAAATATCTTCTCCCAGTCAGTTGGTTGCCTTTTGGTTTTGTTGATGGTTGTTTTGATGTGCAGAAGTTTTTAGTTTGATATAGTCCCACTCATTTACTTTTGCTTTTACTCCCCTTGCCTTTGAGGTCAAATTCATAAAATCCTAAGACCAGGTCCATAAGTTTAGTACCTATGTTTTCTTCTATTTATTTTATTGGTTCTGGTCTTATATTTAGGTTTTTGACTCATTTTAAGTTAATTTTTGTATATGGTGACAAATAGCAGTCTAGTTTCATTCTTTTACATGTGGCTTTCCAATATTCCCAGCACCATTTATTGAAGAGGTTTGCTTTTTTTCATTGCATGTTTTTGGCTACTTTGTCAAAAATCATTTGCCCATATATATGGGGGTTTATTTCTGGGCTCTCAGTTCTATTCCATTGGTCTGTGTGTCTGTTTTTCTGCCAATACCATGCTGTTTTGATTATTGTCTCTTTGTAGTATAATTTGAAGTCAGGGAGTGTGATACCCTTGAGTTTGTTTTTTTTTTCCTCAGGGTTGCTTTGGCTTTTGAGGGTCCTTTGTTGTTCCATATAAATCTGATGATTTTTTTGTTCTATTTCTTTAAAGAATGACATTGGAATTTTTATGGGGATTGTATTAAATCTGTATATTGCTTTGGGTAAGGTGGCCATTTTAGCTATGTTGATTCTTCCAATCCATGAACATGGAATATCTTTCCATTTCTTTGTATCTTCTTCAATTTTTAAAAATAATGTCTTGTAGTTTTCAGTGTAGAGGTCCTTCACATTCTTTCTTAAGTTTATTCCTAGGTATTTTCTTCTTTTTGTTGAAATTGCAAATGGAATTTGTTTTTATTCCTTTTCCTGAAATTTCTTTGTTAGCATATAGGAATGCAATGGATTTTTGTACATTGATTTTGTATCTTGCAACTTTACTGTATTTGTTTATTATTTCTAAGAGTTTTTTGGTGGAGTTTTTAGGGTTTTTCTATATAAAGAATCAAGTGGGGTTCATTCCAGGGGTACAAGGATGGTTCAACCTGTACAAATCACTCCATGTGATCTACCACATTAACAAAATAAAAGACAAATATCAATAGATGCAAGAAAAGCATTTGACAAGATATAACATCCATTTATAATTAAAACACTCAATAAAATGGGTATAGAAGGAAAGTACCTGAACATAATAAAGGCCATATATCACAAACCCTCAGCTAATATCATACTCAATGGTGAAATGCTGAAAGCGTTTTCTCTAAAATCAAGAACAAGACAAGGATGCCCACTCTCACCACTGTTATTCAACATGGTACTGGAAGTCCTAGCCAGAGCAGTCAGGCAAGAGAAAGAAATAGATGACATCCAAACTGGGGATGAAGAAGTAAAATTGTCACTTTTATTGCCCTATCTTGTGTCGTCTGTGTCTCTCTGAGAATTCCTCC